GAAGACAGTGGAAAGTCAATGACAAACATCCAAAGAACGCATGGAAAAACTGCAACAATTGTTCATTTCCTGTCTAGTGCAAAAGTAAAACAGAAAATGTGGCCAAACCATGGCTTACATGGGAAATTAGAGATAATGTTAGGTCCAAGGAAGAGGTGTACAAATTGGCCACAAAAAACAACAGATCCAAGAAATGGGAGCAGTTTAGAATTCAACAAAGGAGGACAAAGCGATTGATTAAGAAGGGAAACTAGAGCATGAGTGTGAGATTGCGGGGAACATAAAAACTGAAAGTAAAAGTTTCTATAGGTATTCAAGAGAAAAAGATTGTGAAGACAAATGTCAGTCTCTTTTAGTCAGAAACAGGGAACTTATAGCGGGGAACAAAAAGAGTAGCTGACCAACAAAATACATACTTTGGTTCAGTGTTCAGAAAGGAGGATATAAATAACATACCACAAATATTGGAGAACATAGGGTTTAGGGATGGTGGGGAACTGAAGGAAATCAGTATAAGTAGGGAAATGGTATTGAGGAAATTGATAGGATTGAAGGCCAAAAAATCCTCAGGGCCTGATAATCTACACCCTAAAAGTACTTCAAGAAGTGGACTGAGAAATAGTAGATACATTGGTGGTCATTTTCAAGATTCTACAGACTCAGGAAAAAGTCCTACAGATTAGAGGGTAGCTAATGCAATCCCTCTATCTAAAAAGCGAGTAGAGAGAAAACTGGGAATTATAGACCAGTCATCTTGATATTGGTAGTGGGGACAATGCTGGAATCCATGATAAAACATTTAAGAGCAGAGCCCCTGGAAAACAGTATATGATCAGACATAGTCAACATGGATTTGCAAAAGGAAAATCATACATGACAATCTACTAGAATTTTTTGAGAATGTACCTAGTATAGTTGATGAAGGGGAGCCAGTGGATGCAATTTATTTGGACTTTCAGAAGGTTTTTGACAAATTCCCATATAAGAGATTAGCATGTAAAATTAAAGTGCAAAGGATTGGGGATAGTGCATTGAGACGGATAGAAAATTAGTCAGCAGACAGGAAACAAAGAGTAGAAATAAATGGGTCTTTTTCCTGATGGCAGTGGGATACCACAGGAATTGGTGCTAACCCCAATGATTCACAATATATCAATAATTTCGAGAGGGGATCTAAGTGCAATATCTCCAAATTTGTAGATGATACAAAGTTGGGTGGGAGGGTGAGCTCTGAGGAGGATACAGAGATGCCTCAGTGTGATTTGTTCAAGCTGAGTGAGTGGGCAAATTGTCATCAGCGGTCCCTCGCTCTCTTCCACTCTCAGGTTGAGTCTGTGGGTGGCTGTACGAACTGATGCGGCCATTGCAGGCTCTGTTACACTTGGACCAAATGGTGGTCAGGTAAAAGGATAAGTGGGCCATTGATGTGGCAGCACACTGCTTTTGCTGTTTTTGCTTGGTTTCCAATTTTTCCTGACAGCAACTCTCGAGGTGCTCAACACTTTCCTGGATGCTCCTACTCCACTTTGACAGTCTTGGGCCTGTGATTCCCAGGTGTCTGTGGGAATATCACACCTCGTCACTGAGGCCTTGAGGATATGACTAAAGCACTTTCTCTGTTCACCTGGGGCTCACCTGCCATTTTGAAGCTGAGAATAGAGCACCTGCTTGGAGAGTCTCGTGTCAGCCATGCAGACAACATGCCCAGTCCATTGTGGTCGATCAAGGGTGGTCAATGCTTCAATGCTGGTATGCAAATGCATGGCCAATATTATGTAATGTGGAAAAATGTGAGGTTATCCACTTTGTTGCAAAAACAGGAAGGTACGTTATTATCCAAATGGCTTCAATTGTGAGAGGGGAATCTGTAACGAGATCTAATGAGAATGCATCCTTATATATCAATTGTTGAAGGTAAGCATGGAAGTGCAGCAGGTGGTTAAGAAGACTAATGGTCTGTTGGCCTTCATAGCAAGAGGATTCAAGTACAGGAGCAGAGGTATCTTGCTGTAATTATACATGGCCTTGGTGAGACAATACCCAGAATATTGTGTGTAGTTTTGGTCTCCTTATCTGTGGAAGGATGTTCTTGCAGTAGGAAGGGTGAAGTGAAGGCTTACCAGAGAGAACCCTGGGATAGCAGACTGATGTATGAAGAGAGATTGAATTAGTTCAATGCACGAGGGTGGTTTCATAGGAACTTATAAAATTATAACAGGACTAGATAGGGTAGATTCCTGAAAGTTTCCAATGGCAGGGGAGTCCAGAATTAGGAATCACAGTCTAAGAATATTGGATGAACCATTTACAACTGAGATGAGGAGAGATTTCCTCGCCTATAGAGTGATGAGCCTGTGGAATTTGCTACCACAGAAAGCAGTTGAAGCCAAAACACTGATTTGAGGAAGGAGTTGGATATGACACTTGGGACTAAAGGGATCAAAGGATATGTGTGAAAAACTGGAATAAGCTATTGAGTTAGATGATTAGCCACAATCATAATGAATGGTGGAGCAGGATCAAAGGGCCAAATGGTCTACTCCTACTCTTATTTTCAATGTTTCCAGGCAATGAAAGCTGCTTTTTTCAGTCCAGGAGATCACATTTCAACTGAATCAGTCCTGATGATGGCAATGCTCAAACAAAATCATCTTGACACAGCTAGACAAACAGGAGGCTGGAAGAACGCAGCAAGCCAGGCAGCATCTGGAGGAAAGGAGCAGTCAATGTTTTGGGTATTGTGTCTAGTGCAGGTGACTTTATTTGATCTCACTTTCGCATTATTGAGAAAAATAAAGGCAGGTATAGGTCAGGAAATTACAGGCTTGTCAGTCTGACCTCAGTGTTGGGAAAGTTTTTAGAAAGAATCCTGAGGGGCAGAATATACTGCACTTGGAGAAACACAGATTAATCAGAGATTGTTGCATAGATTTGTTAAGGGAAGGTCATGTATGACAAATTTGATTAATTGTTTTGATGAGGTAACCAGGAATGTTGATGGGGATAATGTCTTTGATGTGATCTACATGGCTTTATCAAGGCTTTTGATGAGTCCCTCAGAGCCATCTGGCCATTAAGAAAGTAAGAACACAGGGAATCTAAGGCAAAGTAGTGCGTAGGATCCAAAATTAGCTGAGAGATAGGAAGCAGAAGTGATGATTAAGGGATGTTTCTTTGACTAGAATCCTGTTTCCAGTGGGGTTTTGCAGTGCTCATTGCTGAGGCCCTTCCTGTTTGCGGTATATATTAGTATTTAGACTTGAATCTTGGGGGCATGATCAGGATGTTGATGGATGACATGACAATCAGTAGGATGGTAAATATTGAGATAGCTGTAAACTGCAGGAGGATATCTACAGATGGCAGAGCCGTGCCAAATGGATTTCAGTCTGGAAAAGCGGGAGATAATGGACTCAGGGAAGATTAACAAGGCAAGGGATCACCCAATGGTAGGACCCTCCAAATTACTGAAGATCAGAGGGACTTTGGTGTTCATATTTACAGATCTTTGATCTCCAGAACATCGTGTTTTTGTTTCAGACTTACGGCACCTGGAGTCTTTGTATTTTGTTAGATGGATAGGAAGGCACTGTTTCATTAGTACAGGTGTCATTACCTAGGGGACATAAGTGTAGGGTAAGAGGTAGAGGCTAAGAGGAGAATTGAGGAGTATTTTTCACCCAGAGGGTGATGGGAGTCTGAAAACTCACTGCCTGAAAGTGAGTTGAGTCAGAAGCACTCATACATTTTATGAGGTATTTAGATATTCATTTATGTTGCCATTGCTTCCAAGGCTATGAGCCAAGAGCTAGAGAATGAGTATATTGTAGTCAGATCTTTGTTGATTGGCATTGACAAGATAGGCTGAATATCCTCCTGTGCTGTTAACCATTATGAGTTTATGAAATTAAGTTGGATATGTTAAGATTATCTAGATAAGTATATGCTGCATTTATAAGATCCCTCTTTGTTTGGTCTGTTTTAGGGCTGAGACATTGATCATCTTTCTCTTTGACTTCTGGCTTTTGTGATACTTTAGTGTGAGGTGATTGAACATGTCAATGATCTATTCATCAGAGAGCAGACCCTTGCTAGATTGTGTAATACCATCTTCATTCAAATGTTTGACTCAAAGAATGACAAGGTTCAGTGCATAAATGCTGATAACTGTGATATTAGTTATTGCTGAGCCCTAGGTCACAAACCCTGTCCCCATTGGCAAGTATCATGAGTTTTTCATTTCTACAACTGGTAGTTCTGGCAGTGCTTTCAATATTCTATTCCAAACGGCAAAGACAATTCCATGGATACAAAGGTTACAGTCAGTCTTTCCTTTCCAGCAGAATGTTAGAAAATAGTGAGAAATTATTGTTCCCAATAACACCACTAGGTAGAGGACCAAGTTTGAATATGCAAAATTGGAGTGACTTTGGTGGCAATTAGTGTGATTCCATTCAATCAAAAGATAGCTAACATTTCAAAGTTTTTAGCGTGATCTAGGAAATTACATGAAAACTTTTCCTCTCCTCGAGGTACAACTATATGGTAAAATTTTTTGGAGTTGGTGTCATAGAGAAAACCACCTTAGTTTAGCTTCATATCAGAAGGTTCAATCCAAACTGCCATCAGTCTGAATGCTGTTAACATATATACCTTGTATTATTTGGTGATGCAATGTAAAATGTTGCAAGAGATGTCACAATATGTGCATTCTATGTTCCCTGCTTTACCAGATATTTGTTTAAAAAACGTTGTTAATTTTCTCCCATTAATGGTGTGACATCATGGTGCTAAGACACATGCGCAGATGGATTATGACAGCCAATTTCAACAGTGGCACCTTTTTTCTGCATTGGGAACTTATTCCATTCAAAAATATTCTGATTCATCAATATTGTGTCCAGAGTGAATTCTCTCAAGCTTGCCTACATTAAATTCTGTTTATCCATTGAATACCAATTTTTTGAAAAATGATATATAACTATTATTCTTTATTACAGATATGCTTTCTCCAAGAATAAAAACCCTACAATGGTACCGATACCGGATCCAAATGTTGAAATTGGACAGGCACGAGGACTTTCCACAAAAGATGTTATAAAGATAAACAAGTTGTATAGTTGTGGTAGGTGTAAAATATATTAAAAAACCATAAGATATAGGAGCAGAATTAAGGCCATTCGGCAATTGATGTGGAGTATTTGAACTTTCAAAGGGCATTCAATATAATGCCACACCACAGATTTGTGAGAAAAGCTGTAGGTCATAGAATAAAAGGGACATAACACTAAGGATACAAAGTTGGCTAGGAGATAGGTAACAGAAAGTGATGGTTAATGGACATTTTTCAGGCTGGAAGAAGCTGGGAGCCGATACTGGGACCTTTGCTTTTTCAGTTAAGTATAAATTGTATGGATCTTGGTGTGCAGGGGATAATTGCATCATTTGCTGATGACACAAAACTTGCAAGAATTGTAAAATACAAGGGGGACACTGAAAAACTTCAAAGAGACATTGATTCTATGATCTATGATATATGATCTATGATCTAAAGAGACATTGAAACATTGGAGAATTGAGCGGATAGGCATGTGGAGTAGACAGATATATGGTAGATGAAGACCTTTGCGTATAAGTGTGAGGTAATGCACTCCGGTACAAAGAATATGGAAAGGTAGGACAAAATAAAAGAGTACTACTATGAAGAATGTGAAGGAGCAGAAACATCTAGATAAATTTGTGTATAAGTCATTAAAGGTGTCAGGACAGTGAAGAGAGCTGTTAATAAAACATACAGTATCCTAGGCTACTTAAATAAGAACATAGATCAGGGAGCTTTTGATGAAGTTATGTAGTACATTGGTTATACCTCAGCTGCAATGTTATGTACAGTCCTGGGTGCCATACTATGGGAGCGATGTGAATGAATTCGAGAGAGTGTAGAAGAGGTCTACGAGAATTGTTCCAGAGCAAAGACATTGCATTTATGAGGAAACATTGGAGAAGTTGGAACTGTTTTCCATGGAGGAGAGAAGTCTAAGAGGAGATATGATCGAAGTCTTCAAAATCATGAAGTAGTCTGCATAGAATGGATAGAAGGAATCTATTCTTACTCATAAATAGATCGAGAACCAGAGGACACAGTTTTATAGTGACATGGAAAAAGCAATGCAAGGTGAGAAAGTAGTTTGAAATACAATGCACTGCCTAGAAGCATAGTGGAGGCCAGTTAAAATAAGGCATTTAAAATAAGGGCATCTAAGAGGGATAATTTAAATAGGGACAGATATTTAGATATAGGGAAAAGGCAAGATATTGGAAGTAAATTAAAATGCTCAGGTATGCAGTCCAGACATCACTGGGCCAAATGGCTTCCTTCTGCACTGCAACAATTCTGTGATTCATTGAAGTTCGCCCTCACCCAGAGGAATCATCAGAAGTGATCTTCGACCATGATCTTGACAGCTGGAAGAAATGATGAAGCAGTTACGATAGTGGGAAAGTTCAAGGATTCGTTTGGAAGAGGACGTACTGTCTGGACAACTTTTTGAACAACAAAGACAACAATTAGTTCTGAGCCGATCGACATCTAAGAGTCATTGAACCTTATAAACGCATGCATTGCATGGATCCACTTTTCTCAACCAAATGCATCAATACAGTTTGTGCTGGATCGTCAATATCCTTAGCAACCTTTAATAATCAGTCAGATATATACTACAGTTAAGAGGGCAATACTTAACTAAAGTAAAAATATTTCTTGCAATTCTGCAATTTTTTGTGTATGGCTTGATCTCAATTTTAGTGCACAACCTGCTTTATGATATTGCAGCTGAAACATTAACTGATGGAGGTCTCATTGTCTGCAAGAACCTGATCAGACAGCAATTTAAACTGGAAAGCAAAGAAAAAAGCAGGATAATATACCGTTTCAAGATCCATGTTAATGCCTCAGAGAAACAAAAACTTAGAACTTTTCTGAGGTCTCCAGACAATTATCCTTTCATCCCCCTGAAAATATTAGAAGGGAATTGAATGCCTCTGAGGCTACCAAGGATTCAGCTTGACTGGACCTGTATTCTCATTTCCTACATGTCAGTTTGTGATATCCCGCCTGTTTCCCTTGTGATAATTGAATTTGCAAGGAACCATGTCCTAAAATATAGGCCTAGATCCTCCAGTGTTCAGATAGTCAGAGAACAGATGTCTGACCTAAGAAACGCATGGGTATTGCCAAGGAATCTACACCTGTTTCTTAGGTTCAAAACACACACCTAAGTATCCAAAATGACGGGCAGGACACGTGTGCATATGACTAGAACAATCCTGCCCTCCATACTGATGAAAAATAAATGCCTTAGGACTGTTATTACCGAGGTTGACGGGGTGCACATTTTCCTTTTCTAATCCCATTCTTCTACTTGTAACAACTGATTTTAAATTTAAATCAGGTTGGTCACATGGCCAATTATAAAAGTCTCAGACTTGTACAGGATCAGTATGAAGAACAAGTCACCAATGACAAATAACTGACTTAACACCAAAAACAATATTACTCAAGAAAATTTGCAAATATTATTGACAATGTTATGTCTATGGTATATATGAAAATAACCATAAATCTGAAGAGAAACAAAAACAAAAACAAATAATTTGTGCAAAATGATACAAAAAGGTCCGGACAGACAATATTTTTCACACAGAGGGTGGTGAGTGTTTGGAACAGGCCATCAAAGATATTGATGGAAGCGAGTACAATTTTGTATTTAAGAAACATTTGGACAGATACATGGATAGGATAGGTATGGAGGGATATGGACCGAATGCAGGCAAATGCGTCTTGATTAATTGTGAAAAACTGAATGGCAAGGACAAGCTGGGCCGAAGGGCCTGTTTCCATTGCAGTAAACCTCAATGACTATGATTATGACTAAGTTAGAACAACTAACAGGCAATCCCCCTTCTGGAAAATGTCTCTGACTCTGTGTTCGATTCAGAGACTTAGGACAGTTCCAACTTATTTACCTGAATGGTTACCTAGGGAATGCAGATGGAGATATCCTAGTCTAACCCTCCAAATGCCTGGCTCTTGTGACTCCCTCCTCGGTCTAGTGATTCTACCTCTTGGCTCCTAAAGTCCCAGCTCCCAACCTGAACCTCTACACCCTGAACCTCAATTTCCCCTAACTCTTTCAAAACAACCTTCAATTCCCCCAGTACCTCCAACACCTAGACTCTATCCTGATCTGTAACTATTGCCATGACTCCCCCAACTCCTGTTTGCCCTCTCACTGTGTCCTGACCTGACTTCCTTCTGAATTAACTGATTCCTCCTTTGTTGCCTCCAAATTCCCTGACACCAAACTCCCCCAACTGCAACTTTCCTGGACCATCCTCCTAATTCTGATTCCCTTGACGCCCTCTAAAGTAAACTCCACCCCAAGACCTAACCTGACTAGCCAGTGCTGTATAATTTCTTTAAGAGTGAGGTCACTTTAAGAAACTCAAAGTATGCATGAGCCACATTGCTGGATGTCCTCATATGGCTAAGAACTATGGCTATTCTCCATTGTGGATACCTTAACAAAGGATGTGATTACTTTACTGTCTGTCCAAGCTTAGCTGTGAATAAACACACATGTGGGGACGTTAAATAAATAAAATCCATATACCTCACTTTACCTATATATACATAACACAAGCAATGACCACATGGTGTCAGAAGGGAGAGGAAGCGATGACATAGTGGTAATGTCGCTGAACTAGTAGTCCAGACTCCCCATCTAATGTCTGGGGACATGGATTAAAATCCCACCAATGACAGATGGTGAAATTTGAATTTAGTAAAATTCTGCAATTAAAAATTCTTCTGATGGTAACCACGTAGGCATTGTTAGGCGTTGTAAAGGCCCATCTCGTTCACTAATGTCCGTTTGGTGAAGGAAATCTAACTTCAGATCCATAGTAATGTGGTTGACTCTTGACTGCCCTCTGAAATGTCCTGGACAGCCCATCATTTCATGGGCAACAAATACTGGCCTTGCCAATAATGCTGGCATTCCATAAAAGAATTGAACAAAGTGGGATTATCTCTTTAAACTAAAAGATAACCAAAGAAGTTGATGATACAACTTGAAGACCATGAGGAGAAACTGCAGGAACGGCTCAAAAACCACTCCAAAAGTCAGAAGTTCTCACTCTATAGAGAGCAGAAGAAAATAAGTCAAGAAAACAGAAAAGAATGAGGATTTCTTCACAAACTGAGAGTACGTTTGAGATAGACAAAGCCAGGCAGGCAGCCAGCAAATTCAAAACTGCATTCTTCTGTTATGACCCACTTGGGAAAGTGAGCTGATAGTTCAGTAACACATCACCAGGGGTTGTCACAAAACTTAAAGATTTAATCAAATTACAGGAATTTCCTGTCTGATGAACATAAGTTAACAGAAATCACTGACCACGTTTATGTACTTAACAAGAAACTAAAGGTCAAGTTGCCATAGTACTGTTCAACCATAGGGTTGTTTTAAGTGTGACAACTGATGGTGGTTTAACTGGAGAGTCACAACATTTTAGATGAGGGGAGAGGTTGAGAAGGAGTGTCCTTCATGCTAACCTCGAACCTGTGGTGTTGGCATTACAAGCCAGATGTTCAGCTAACTGAGCTAACTAACCCCCTTCAAGGTTAAGTTTCCATAGTCACATAGGGTCGTTGGGCTGTTCTCTCATTAGAAAGAGTTGACTGGTCGTGAGTTTAATTTGAGGGTCACCACTGTAATGTTCATGGCAACCTCAGCCAGTGCAAGCATTGAACCCGTACTATTGGTGTCAGCCATTCAGTGCTATCTATTACAAATAAATCAATACTCACTATGGGCAAACAAAACTGAATTATCAATGTATAACTTAATTAGCTGGTATTCTAACACAGCCCTCCCCACAAACTTCTTAAACCTTAAAAACATACAGAAATAGAAAGATAAGCAAATAAACAATAATGTTACGAGTGGATGGAAAATTACTGGGGAATTACATTCAATAGCATTAATCCACAGGATACAATGAGGTGCCCCTTTTGCTTTTGCCAAGACCAGAACTCTGTTTTCTGATTTCCTTATTTCCTGG